ACACCTTTTGCAAAACGCAAAAATACACACACGCTCTTCCCAACACCCACAATATAAAAACTAATAACCAATAAAATAATAGTCAACTAGAAAATACACAATCAAGTTACCACAATTACACTTTTTACAAAATAAGGAATACACAAACAATAAATATAAAAAATAGAAAATAAATAAATAAACATGCGCGCATATTGGGGCGCGAATGTACAAACATACCCACATAAATAACATACATAAATAGTATACTCATATAAACATACCCATATAAATAACATACATAAATAACATACCCATAGAAACATACCCATATAAATAACATACATAAATAATATGCCCATAGAAACATACACACAAACAGAAACACAAAATGAAACACGAACACACAAACATACACGTTCAGGTGCGTGTATGCGCGCGTATTTGTATGTATGTATGCATGCACGCGTGGGCATGGACAGACACACAAATAAACACACACCCGGACAAACATGCATACACACACAGAAAATTCATCCTCAACCTAAGCTAAATGATAATAACAATAGCTATAAACCTGAGATCACCGAAGAAACACGAAGTTAATGAGTACACTAAATATAAACTAATGGTAAATATGTAAATGAAACAATTGATTTAACATCATAACAACACAAACAAAAATGTTCTTTCATACAACTCAACATAAAAGACTTTATCAAGCGGTAAATGACACACAATTATAACCCACTACCTCCAAAATAACCATCAGAATGGCTTACCCACAATGCATCACTGACCCATATATATATAAAAAGGCGAGAAAAAATCCAACACTCGCGGCCTGTCGATTGCGTCTAGCATGAAACAGCCTGTCGCGTCAGTGTTGACTTCAATGTTCACTTTTATATATATATATATATATATAAAAGAAATATGTTGTAGTGGTTCCAACGAGAGAAAAGTATGTATATTAAAAAGAAAATGGGTGCCGCAAACGTTTTTGGTTGTAATGTGGATTTATTGGGAAAAAATATTATACTTTGTTTTACATAATTTCACGACACGTGTTTCTGGTCTGGTCTCGCAACCGTCTTCAGGTGAAAGTGGAGATTTTTACATATTATTAAAAATAATTAATTTTTCTTCATGTTCAATGTGGAATATTCTCGATATGAGACATTCTGTTTGTGTGTTGGCAATCCGAATTTTCTTTATATATATATATATATATATATATAAAACAAAAAGGCTTTTTATTATATTATTGAGCTCTTTGAGCCTTTTTATTATATTCTTACTCTGTCCTGATATATATATATATATATATATATATATATATATATATATATATTGACCACTAATAGTATATATATATATATATCGGAGGAGACATATTTTCTATGAAATTTCTCGAGCATTCAAGCCGGTAAATGTTGTTAATACTGTTTATTATAAACAAAGCATTTACTTATATTGTTTACATTATTCGTACTGTTATCCGCATCTTTATTGTCATCGTCACAACATTTCGGCCGTTGTACGCTTCGGTCTTCTTCAGGTGATTGGAGTTTCCTCAAGAACACCTCACCCTGTGGATAAAGACGTTGGTTAGATCCAGTGACTAAACTCAAAGAGTTGTGAGTTCAATAGCTGGCCACAGCAGTAGTAAACCAAACTTGGAGGGTTGAGTTAAAGGGAAATAACTGAGACATCCAGAAGAGGCATGGCCCGTGAAACTAGAACAATCTACCCCGGTGGACAAAAAAAAGGGTTCGGTTCGAAATTCCAATCACCTGAAGAAGGCCGGAGCGTACAACGGCCGAAATATCGTGAATATGGCAATGACGATGAAGATAATAATCCGAATAACGTAATAATGCAAAAATAAACATAATACTTCATTTCAGAGATACAGACAGAATATTTGCAATTAAATACTTGTATCGATAAAAATAACGTACAAACAGAAAATATATTGACATTTATCTCTCTCTCTCTCTATATATATATATATATATATATATAGTCGGGTTTACAGAGCTGTTGTACTTGCCATCTTTTTGTATGGTTCCGAGTCGTGGACTCCATACAGGTAGCATATACGACATCTGGATGTTTTCCATAAAAGCTGTCTGCATGCAATCTGTGGAGTTAAGCTTCAAGATAGGACATCTAACGTAGACCTGTTTAACAGGTGTAATATTGGAGGAATCGAGACTTTTATCATACAGTCTCAGTTACGGTGGACTGGACATGTCTTGAGAATGTCTGATGACAGGATACCCAAGATCCTAATGTACAGCCAGTTAGATCAGGGCTACAGGAATGTAGGACACCCATGTCTAAGATACAAAGACAAGCTGAAAAGCAACTTGTCAGCAGTTAATATACCACATAACACCCTTGAGCGCTTAGCCTTGGAGCGGGTAGAATGGAGATCAACGTGTTTTAGTAGACTCAGCAATTTTCAATCTGCTTGTCTGTATCATCTTCAAGAAGCGAGAGCAAGATCTAAAAGGTCAGCCAATCTAACAGTGATCTCCTTTCACAATCCTCACACTTGCTCCATATGTGGCCTCCTTTGTAAATCACTAGCGGGTCTTAAATGCCACTTAAGATTATCGCACAAACTTTCATAACTGAATCAATAAGCTGTCAGATCCTCATACATCGAAACCGACAGGAGAGTCCATTATTATCATTATATATATATATATATATATATATATAGCATGAAACTATATTTTTATTATATAAGATAAGGAAATTGAAGACCAAATAAGCTGCGCTAGGGATAGTTTCACCCGATACTGCAATTTGCTACAAAACCAAAAGATTAACCTGAAACTCGCGTCATATTAAATAGCCTCGTCAGATCTTGACTTGTAAGCAACCGATTTCCAAGATAGCTAAAAATAGATCTCAGCGATCGAAACTTATGTGTCTTGTTGAAGATCACACTTCTTCGATCTTTGTGTATTGGCGCTACGGAATCACAAACAAAGAACTGTACCAAATAACAGAAACTACATAACTCGAGAACTAGCGAAATCAGCAAGAAAACGTATAACACATTGTTGTAGCGCACCTACGGACGATAATGGGTATGTTCCCATTCACATAAGTAGAGTAGTAAATACTGTATGTTGGTCTCCATCTGGAGATTCGTCTCCAGCTGTGCTGGTCAAAATCTGCCTCTGGGCAAAGAGGAGGCTATGCTGACGTGCAGAGTCTCGTCTCTGGAAACAGCAACCCAACCCCGTTTTATATGGGGTCTACGGGGAATTTTTGGCCGAACCTACGGGCTCGGATACCCCTACAGGCTCGGATACCCCACATTAAATTAGACCTTGTGCCACATCTGACCGTGTGGGGCGGTTGGTAGATATCCTGCAGTTGAAGACTCGTCTCCAGCTGTGCTGGTCAAACACTGCCTCCAAGCAGAGAGGATCTCCAGACGAGACTATGTCGAAGGGCAGAGTTTCATCTCGGGAAACAGCTACAGAGTCTACAAGGAATTTTTGGCCGAGCCTACGGGCTCGGATACCTCACATTAAATTCGCCCTTGTGCCACATCTGATTGCGTGGGGCGGTTGGTAAATATCCTGCAGTTGGAGATTCGTCTCCAGCTATGCTTGTCAAACTTACTTTTTATACGGGCTCTACGGGGAATTTTTGATCGAGTCTACGGGCTTGGATACCCCACATTAAATTCGGCCTTGTGCAACGTCCGACCGCGTGAGGCAGTTGCTAGATATCCTGCATTTGGAGATTCATCTCGAGCTGTGCTGGTCAAACTCTCTGCTTCCTGGCAGAGAGAATACCCGGATGAGGATATGTCGAAGGACAGATTCTCGTCTCAGGAAACAGCTAACCGACCCCGTTTTATACGGAGTCTACGGAGAATTTTTCATTATGGAATTCACTTGAATCAATTCTAGGAGTTGAGTACTTATTCTACGCGCCACTGGAGAATCTTATATGTGTTGTTCTTTCCCTAAGTATTATCGTTCAGTACCAAGCCTCGTGTGATTATTCTATTCATTAATTTTCCCTAGATTACAACAAATATTATGTACATCAGTAATAAATTTCGATAGGTCAATTACTTCACTTATAATAGACTCGCTGTAAAGGTCATTTTTTAATCAATTTCACCCAAAGCAAAGCAATAAAGCCAGTGAGAGATAATGATTTACTGGGTGTAGAAAAGTTAGAAAGAGAAACACTGCACAGGAGCAAGAACAAAAGTAATCAGGAGAAGAATAGATAACGATTGACATTGCATTTACGGCCGGAAAACGCATCCCTGTGTGACTGTTCATTTTATTTTTCCTTTGGAGTTTGTCATCAGTACAGTGTAATCTGCGAATATTGTTAAGACTGTTGCCAATAATAAATCAGGGGAGGTTTTCTCATTCTTTTAGGATCGTCTCGTTATATAGGTTAATTAAATCCAGTGAGAAAATGCATTCCTGGAAGGGAATGGGATAATAGTTGATGAAACATGCAAGCGAAGATTAAGGATTAAAAGGATAAAGTAGAACATATATAAACGGCGTGGTTTAAGAAGGGAAAAGCGGGAAGGTGATTTTTTTAAGATTTACAAAAAAAGTCAAAGCATAAAATTCTTGGACCTTAAAAGAAAATCTCGTAAAATTTAATTAAAAAAAAAATTGATGGAAAAGTAAAGATAAGACAGAAAGGACGAAAAAGAGAATGAAAAGGAAAAAGAGAAAGAAAAAAGAGATAGAAAAAAGAAAGAAAATAGGAAAAAAAAAGAGAAAAGGGAAAGAAAAAAAGCAGAAAAAGAAGAGAAACGTGAAAAAGAAAAGGATTGAAAATACGACAGAAAATAAGGGAATGATAAAAAAGACAGAAATGAAAAAACGATTAAGAAAGAGAGAGAAAAGACAAAGAAGAAAGAAAAGCATAAACTGAAAAGAAAGACACACAACAATGGAGAAGAACGGATGACAATAAAAAGAGAGAGAGAGAGAGAGAGAGAGAGAGAGAAATTAAAATGAAGACGGAAGAAAATTGAGTGAACCAAAGAAAAGATAAAAGAGAGGTAAAGAGAAGCAGAAAAGAAAGAGGAATAAAAGCGAGAAAACAGACGAAAAAGATGAATTAAACAGACAACAAAACAACAGATACAGAACGCAGTAATTAAAGACAGAAAATAAACAAGAGAATAAGAACAGACAGAAATAACAACATAAAATGATCAGCGATAAGATAACAGAGAGATAAGAATAGATGGAAGAAAGGCAAATAAAGAAGAGACAGTTAAACAGAGAAAAGTAGAAAAGAAGAACTGACAAAAATGCAGACAGAGAAAAAAAAGCATAGGAGAGAAATACCAAAGAGGGAATAATTTCAAAAGTGTTCACGCGTAAAAGAAAAGACAAAAAGAAAGATAAGAAAAATACATAGAGGAATGACAACAGCGACAGGGAATAAATGCCGAAAGAATGGCAGATTTGTACGAACAAAAAAAGAAGGCATAAAAACAAGAAATGGAGAACAAAGAAAGAAAGAGAAGATAATTGACCAAAAAGAAAAGACCGTTGAGAATTGTCAACAAATAAGACACAAAAGAAAATTGGGATAAAAAAAGAAAGAAAGAAAGACTGAATATAAAGACAAACGAAAATCAAAAAAGAACTGATATAAAACGTTGAGAAAGAAACGAAAATAGGAAAGGACAAAGAAATCTTTGAAGCAGAATTGAAAAACAGAAAAGAACAGAAAAAAAGGAGTCCCAGAAATTAAAATAGAAAACATCCGATAGAAAAGGTAGAGACAGAAATTTAAAATATGAAGTCAATAAAGAAAAATACAAAATCAGATAAAGGAAAAGAACGGGTGTAAAAAAAAAATACAGGGGAAAACTAGAAAGAAAAAATAAAAGAATGCAAATCAAAAGATAAAAACGAAAAATGTAGTGAGTAAAGAACACCAAATATAGTAAGAAAAGAACACCAAAGAACACCAAAAACACCAAATATAGAGAGTAAAGAACACCACAGAACACCAAATATACTCAGTAAAAAAAACAAATAACACCAAATATAGTCTGTAAAGAACACCAAAGAACACCAAATATAGTCAGTAAAGAACACCAAAGTACACCAAATATAGTCAGTAAAGAACACCAAAGAACACCAAATATAGTCAGTAAAGAACACCAAAGAACACCAAATATAGTCAGTAAAGAACACCAAAGAACACCAAATATAATCAGTAAAGAACACCAAAGAACACCAAATATAGTCAGTAAAGAACACCAGAGAATACCAAATATAGTCAGTAAAGAACACCAGAGAATACCAAATATAGTCAGTAAAGAACACCAGAGAATACCAAATATAGTCAGTAAAGAACACCAAAGTACACCAAATATAGTCAGTAAAGAACAGCAAAGAACACCAAATATAGTCAGTAAAGAACACCAAAGAACACCAAATATAATCAGTAAAGAACACCAAAGAACACTAAATATAGTCAGTAAAGAACACCAAAGAACACCAAATATAGTCAGTAAAGAACACCAAAGTACACCAAATATAGTCAGTAAAGAACACCAAAGAACACCAAATATAATCAGTAAAGAACACCAAAGAACACCAAATATAGTCAGTAAATAAAACCAAAGAATACCAAATATAGTCAGTAAAGAATACCAAAGAACACCAAATATAATCAGTAATGAACACCAAAGAACACCAAATATAGTCAGTAAATAAAACCAAAGAATACCAAATATAGTCTGTAAAGAACACCAAAGAACACCAAATATAATCAGTAAAAAACACCAAAGAACACCAAATATAATCAGTAAAAAACACCAAAGAACACCAAATATAATCAGTAAAGAACACCAAAGAACACCAAATATAATCAGTAATGAACACCATGCATAAGAGAAAAAGCGGAAGAAAATACTTTTGGAAAAACGAGATTTCCGAAGAAATGTCTTCTCCATGAAAAGACGAAGGAAATGTTGATGGCAGATAAACCATTTCTTGGAATATAGAATGTTGAAAGAGTTAAAAAGATGCAAATCTTATCAAAAGAATTATCTGTCTATATCTCTCAGATGAAATATTAGGATTACTTACGTTATTCGGATTGTTATCCTTATTGCCATATTCACAACGTTTCGGCCGTTGTACGCTCCGTCCTTCTCCAGGTGATTGGCATTTCGAACGGAACCCTTTATTTCATCCACCGGAGTAGATTGTTCTAGTTCCACGTGCCATGCCTCTTCCGGATGTCTCAGTTATTTCCCTTTGACTCAACTCTCCAAGTTTCGCCTCGTATTGAACTCTCAACTCTTTGGGTCTAATCACTGGATCTAACCAACGTCTTTATCCCCTGGGCCATGTGCCCTTGTGCACATCTGTGTATGAATCTTTAATGTCACAGGAATCATTTTTCACCAGTGCTCATATTGCAAATTCTTTTATTTATTATTAATAATTTTTTTTTACCAGAGCTTATATTGCAATTTTTGTTGTTATTCATTGCTTTCCTCTAGCACTTCTTATTACTGGTTCCCATATTGTATACATATCTATACTTGGTCGGCTCAGGAGCACATATGCTGATTCCTTAAGTTTTCGTATTTTCCAGTGATGCCCTCTGTCTTTTATTTCTTATAAAAGAAAGACACCATTTTGGATCGAAAGAAGATAGATCTTACGAAAATGAGCGACGTATAAGGAGATATACAAACGGACGTCAGCAAAAATATCAACACTATCCATTTCTCTCTGTCATCTCTTTAATCGATATATACACATTACAGTTCATGTTGGAGCATAACTTGCTTCTTCTGATAGGTACAAATACTACTGGCATTTCTTCTGATAGTGTTGTGGACTCCGAGATGAATTCGGTCTCCAAGGAATGACAAACGCAATAATTAAATATAAGAAATAAAATGTATTTACACAGTCATACAAAGGGTAATTCTGTTAGTAAATCCAGGAACACGGTTAGTCGCAAATACAGATAGATATATACAGTCTCGAAGTAGGACTTCCTTAGAGTCTACGTGCTTGTAACTGACTTCTACAAGAGGTTACCTCACACTATCTCCGTTCGTATATTCTCTGACTGACTCCGTATATCCTCTCACTATCCAACTACTCTCACTGACTGTCTAACTCTGGGTATTTAACGGCAGCAGTCCAGGTACACTGGTAGAGTCCACTTATATGAAAAGGGGAGGACCCCATAACAGATAAGTACAAATAATAGTGGCACGTTTTTATCCCAGCAGTGACTGTCCAATAATAGTAGAAATTAGTAATAAGCATAACTCAGTCTCGGTGGACTATGTCTATTGCAGACGCTTTCTCGAGGACCTTAGCGTTTTTTTCAGTCCCCACAGAGAAACACCCTGTGTTTTATACTGCAACTCAGCTGCGAAGATTTTAGTGACAAATTCTGCCAACACATCGACGGATGCCGAAAAGTTTTGTCTCTCCAATTTCAGTAAAAAAGGCTCGGGTCGAACATTGGTATGGTTTTCAAGCCATTTCTAATAGTGCTTCTCGTTAGAATCTGTCGGAAATAATGAAGAATAAATTGACGTGAGTGGAGCGGTGATATCGACCGGGGAGCCCTAAGGCGCGAAAGCCTCATTCTCCGCCGCTTTAGAAGCCTTCCATTTGGATTAGCGGAACAGGTGAGGACAGAGGTATGTTATAAAAATACCTGCACATCAAACTCGAGAGCTTTTTGGTCGTCAGCAAAACAAATGGTTGTCATTGTTCCTGTTTGCTGTGGTTACCCTCTAAGGTAACCGCAGTAAAGCGGAGAGTGTCGCAAAGGAAGGACGTTTTCTTTTGCAACCCGGTCATTCACCAACGCTGGTCTTTTCAGTTGAATTCATTTTCTCCCTGGGTTGATATTATCAAGAAGTTACATGCAAGACACATTGAGCATTGTGATGCCCGGACCCGCGTCTCAGGGCCGGAAAGCTAAAGATTTGATTATTCATCCAATCGATTGCAAATGTTGAAAGTAACGTCATAATAAAAATGTTTATAAACCAATTATTAATAAAGAAAATAGCTCATAACTGATACCCAGAATGTAAACTGTCGTAAAACATGTCCGGCATTTATTCCAAATGAGATTGGGACAACTTGAGGCGGTGTAATAGTTAGCAAGCTTAACTCGCTAGAACAATTACGACTGAGTACTGAGTTCGATACTCACTGGGTGCCCCACACTTTCAGTCTTGTGCCACATCTAAGCTACGTTTGGAAAATCACTATAGGCACCTCAAGGCGGTGTAATGGTTAGCAAACTTGTCTCTCTCGAAAAATTACAAATGCGTACTGAGTTCGATACGCAATGGGTGGCCCATACATTCGGCCTTGTGCCACACCTAAGCTACGCTTGGAAAAATCACTGTAGGCACCTCGAGGATGTGTAATGATTAGCAAGCTTGTCTTACTAGACCAATTACGACTGAGTAGTGAGTTCGATACTCATTGGGTGCTCCATACGTTCGGCCTTGTGCCACACCTAAGCGACGCTTGGAAAATCACTATAGGCACCTCGAGGCGGTGTAATGGTTAGTAAACTTGTCTCGCTAGAAAAATTACGATTGAGTAGTGAGTTCGATCCTCACTGGGTTCCCCATACTTTCGGCCTTTTGCTACGCTTGGAAAATCACTATATTTTAAATAGGCTTTGGGTTAACTAGTAGGGGAGACTGAACCTTCTAGCCTTGAGGGGCACCCAGTCTAAGAGAAAAAAAACTCTGAATTCTAAACCGTGGTGTAGTATTAATTGAGTTCATTTTTTACGTTTTATCGACTCTTTGTAGGTTATTTAAAGCCAAAACATATTTTGGACTGTAAGAATAATAATTTTGTGAATATTAAGCATTTTTGGAAGAAAAAAAAAACAATGATTTTTTCTAATTGATTCATTCATTTTTTTACGTCTTATCAACCCTTTGCAGGTTATTTAAAGCCAGAAATATCCCGAGATTCTAAAATTTTCTTTTGGTGGGGAGGAAGATAATAAGGATTTAGTTATACAAGTCTTACTAATTAACCCCGTAGATCTTTTATCTGGAAGTCTCATTGTTAGTCTAGTGCTGACGGTCATATCAATTTGAAACACCGGAGTTAAGTAAGGTTGAGCTGGGTCAGTACCTAGATGGGTGACCACTTAGGAATACCAGGTAATGTAAGGGATAATGCCGCGGAATAGTTAATCGGAGAGCCGAGCTCCAATTCTAGTCGGGTTTGTTATATTCCGTTATGCACAAATCATTCCCCCAGCTATGGGTTGAATAGCAGGACTGACTGTGCCCTATAGCCTTGGTTGGTAACCAGTCTACCGTAGAAAGAAACGGCAACCTCAGAGCCTCCTCATCCAAATCTGATAAAGGCCACGCCTGGGTTTCACCATCCAGTGAATTTCTACATAGCGAAACTTTGTAAGCCAGTTTCGTAATTATGATGCCTTGATTATAAGCAATACATATTTTTGTACATAGCATTATTCATCTGTTTGAACTCCTATAACGTTATGTAACGTAAATGCACTTTCAATTACTCCATTAATTTATTCTTTAATTCATTATTCTGCCATCGGAATATCACATTACGAACAAAAGGGGAAATCAGCATGTATAATTAATAATCATATAACGTCACATTAGGTCTTAGATTGTAGACTAAATAATTTAGTTCACGCGGTCGAATCAGAAATCTTTCAATTCGAAAAGTTTTTAAAGCTGGCATTGCTGTAGA